TTCTCCTTTCCCTCTTACATGCATATGTATATGTATTCTACATATGAACGCATGTACTAGTTTTTGTTGTTGTCTTTTCACTGGATTACTTTATGACTTAAAAACTATTTTACGTATACTTTGTGTGGATGTTCTTGGTTGATGATCTCGCGTTTATTGGTACTCGTTTTATATTCATTTTTACATTTTGTTGAAACAATTCTGTACATTAGCAATCAATGCGTAGCGTATATCGTGTATATGTACAGACCTGTATTTATTTAGATTTCTCCAAAGAAAAAAAATTCCTGGTGAAGAATATGTGCCTTGTCTGTCTCTGATGATTTGTTATGATTTGATTTTCATGCATATTACACTCTCACCGAATTTTTAATGTTTTTATCTTTAATCTTTCTCATGAATTTTTTTTGATTAATTTTTTTTTTTTTTTTTTTTTTTTTTCATAATTTACAAAAACATAAGCTAATCGCTAATCTATTCGGGATATCTTTAACTTTTCTGTGTACATTGCATGCGGTATGTATGCGCGTATGTTTAGAGAAGAGTATAAAGCTTATATTATTTAGAACTATTTGTCTGCAAAATTAATTGCTGTTTGAGTATATGAGAACATGTGTATTGGTTTGCAAAAGGCCAAGTCCTGAGCCAAAGCTCTTCGCGTCATCAAAAGATGCCCACATTACTGCTTTTCCAATAAAGGTGCAAAGAGTACAAGAATAAGAATTAAATAAAAAAAAAAAAAAATTTTCTCAAGTAAACAAATGCCTTCAGGAACAATTAATTCCCTCCTGATCTACTTCAGATTAGCAGGTGACAATATTTGCCTGTAATGGGTGACCGGCCCTATAACGTAATGAATTCCTCTTTGTCTCATTTCCGATTTCTGCTTCGCTTGCAACAAGAATCCGTACCACTGAGCACGTCCCTCTATTGTAGGCAAATTGTCACTGTTGCGTACAAAAACTTGTGATGAATCTTCTGATTTAACCCTAATCGGATTACAATGTGTCTTTGAGTCGCACTTGACCTTGCAATTTAAATGTTTTGGTTATTTCAACTTCCATTTCGTGGCCTTTGTATTTTATTCGCATGATTCTCGTAGGTGACTGAGAGTCACATCGCGATATAATTCGTTACAAAAACACATGGTACGATTAGGTTTAATGCTTTCGCTAATTTTGGGCGTTCAATATCGAACATATCCACCTTCAACACACACATATATTCACCTGCTCAAATTTTATATTAGTGTAATGACGATGAGGTAAAATTTGCCTTGAATTGTTTCATTTTTTGTCTAAAGCAAGGAACGAGTCGATGTAGAAATCTTCCTGTGTTCCGGGCAATATACCGATGATCAGGTGGAATGAGATGACCAGAGCAATCCATAATTTGGTGCTAAGGGTAAATATATGCATTTTGAGCGGCTTCTAAAGCCTCCTTTTTTTTCGATTACACTTTCTGTTTTAGGATAACTATCCTTCTTACATTTTTTATTTGCCTTCCGCTTCGCATTGCGCATTTCCATTTTCAACAGGTCTTAGCGTATATAGTCTCAATAATTTGTATACAAATTCCAACCATCTGAGAAAATAAAAATTCCATACAATTGAGAATGTTTGAATAAATTTGTTTACATGTATTGTGGGTCTTTCGAGAATAAGCGCATATTCGTTCTCAATAATTTCTCAATAATTTCTCAAATTTTGACTCATAGAAGACAACATAGAACAGTGACTTATATATCGACTAACGAAATGGGGTATGGCTGAATACCATCTATATGTCGAAGATGTTAAAGACGCCGCCAAATGCTTAAAACGCGGCCTAATGATTAGAAGGCCTAATGATCAAAAACGCAGCTATTATAAGTTACAAAATGCCGAGAAATATTAAAATGTTAAAAACACAGTATAATGTTAAAAACGGCTGCTAAATGTTAAAAGTGGAACATAAGCGAAACATGATGATTGTATCAGCTCGCATTGCTTTGCCAAGATCTACTAATGGAATATGAAAGAAAGCATAACTATATTTCCAAGCCTTCGAGTATTATCAAAGGAGACACAATATTATTGTAACCAAATTTGCGTCGCATGTCCATGAGGTGTGAATAAAATGAGGAATCTAACAACTGCAGGTACTCGAAGACTGCAAAGCTGGAATCCTTAAAAATCTTAAGCAATTCTAATTGAATTAATGAAGTTCCGAATCAGACAGCGTTAGGGATCAAAATTTTGTTAGAAACTGCAGCAGCGACCATGCAGTCAATCACTGGACCATGCTTATGACATGGGTACTGAAACGTGAACAATTGGGATGATCAAAACTATTTGAAGGGCCTAAAATATTCACAATTCACAGTTCGTGTTCAAGCGAAAGTAGTAGGCAGCGCGTTCCCTTCCAGAAGCTTTGCTCTACCCTCTAGAACATTTTTGGTTTGTAAATAAAACTTGAAGAGCATTGTTTTCGTTTGCCTAACCATTACCTAAGATGTCCTTAAAGGAGATGATTTAGGGAACATTTGATTGCGTATAACAGATAAAAGACGGAATCAGATTAGTTTTCTTATAGCATAGACATCCTAATGTTTAAACGGTTGTAATCGCGATATAAAGTACGCATGCAACCTCGATTGAGGGCAAAAGATCAATCGCATAGAAAAGTGAAAATTACTTGATTATTTATTTATATTTAAAAGTAAGCAGAAGCATTACAGTGGACAACGATGCACCATTAAATACCCTATGCCAATTCGCTTAACACAGTTGTACATATGATATATGCCAACACAAGGCGTTGTGACCATTTTCAATAAACATTTTCAATAGCGTTTGTCCTCGAGCTAAAACTCACCGGTGTACGAAATTTCATCAAAATATCTCAAAAGTTGCGAACTGTAGGTTGAGAACAAGGAAATAACACAAGTTCGTCTTTTGGTCTACCTCAAGGGCTTCCGGGTTTTGTATACATCCACGCAAACTTTATGTATCCTTGTACCTTGGTGTAGGATGTAGATAGTATTCGATGTCCGGAATCGACTTCAGCTTTAAGCCCCAATTGAAAATGTAACTAAAATTCGTATCTCGCCACAAAATAAAAGGACTTGTGCGACGTGCAACGCGTGAGGAGGTGAAGCAACAGCAGCTATTATTAATGCCTTCTTGATCTTTGCTATCGATGTGTACGGGGAGATGCAGCGGTAAGAGTTAGATAAGCATCATGTGGGCCTTGCAGTTAATGATGATTCGGTCATTCGAGGAACTTTGTTTGTAGAGAAAGAAAAATCAAACCATTGGAACTGTGTATCTATGTACATAGTTGTTGTATTTTTAAAGGGACGTTAAATTTTGAACTTTGCAATCTTTTTTTTAATTTATATATAATTTTTATGATATTTTACAATTTTATTAAATACTTTGTTTAAATCATCGAAGAAATTATGTGTTTATATATAAACTATCTAAAGTATTAATTAACAAAATAGTTAAACAATTTTCGATATAAATAGTGAGTAGTAAGTAGTTTGAGAATAAAAGAAAACGAGATCAAAATATTTGAGAGAGGGAGAGAGAGAGAGAGAGAGAGAGTCTTCGGAAAGGAAAAGTTAAAACCAACCTCATTGAGAGAAAAAAAGCAAAAAAAAAAAAAAAAAAAAAAACACTCACACACAAAACAAAATAATAACAAAAATATATATATATTTTTTTTTTCTTTTATGAAAAAATATTTGTTTAATAATTTTGTTGGTAATTTATTTAATTTCAAATTAATCTCATATCGTTTTTATTATCAATCGCTACTAACTAAAGCATCAAGTATCGTTTAATTTAATTTAATTTAATTTATTTAAGATACGCTTAGAAAATAAAAGAAATAAAAAAAAAAAAAAAAAAAACTAAAAAGAATTAAATAAAAATTAGATGTAATGGTGTTGGGGAAGGGAGCGAATAAATTTTTTTCTTTTCTTAAAAACAAAACAAACGTAAACGTCATCGAAATAGTCGAGAGAAACAGAAACAAATTTACAAAGAATTTTTTCTTCAAGTGTAACTCTTACAGTAACTTGCAAAGAAAACTAAACATTACTAAGTATCAACATTGTTTTCATTTTTATTTTATATTTATTTTATTTCTTTTTTTTTTTTTTTTTTTTTTTTTTTTTAAAGAGAAAATTATAAAATACATTTTTAATAAATTAATTTAAAGCAAACAAAAATTGCAAAAGATTTTTTTATTATTTCATTTAAAGTTATTTTATTTTATTCATTGATTGATTGATTAATTTATTTATTTATTTTAAGATGTATAAGAACTTAATGAGCTATAAAATCAAAGTTTTCTTCGTCTTCTTCTTCTTCTTTTTTTGAGAACATATTGAGTTTTGAACGTAAAATTATTCAAAAAAAAACACACACACACAAATTATCATAAAGAGAAGGAAAAGGGATTATCATCGTTATCTTTAGCGAAAATAATTCGTATTATAACGAGGATCATCGCTTTCTTCTTCGTGTTTTATCATTGTTGCCGATGTCACATTTAATCTATTTGTGTTGTCTAAATTTGAATCATAATGATCATGATGATGTTGATGTTGATGATGCTGATGTTGATGATGTTGATGATGATGATGATGATGATGATGATGATGATGATCATCATAATGATGCCTACTAACATTTGAGCCGGCAAAATCACCGCTTGCAGGTCTAATATTTGAATAGAAATAATTCACTTTAGATGCCGCTAAGCAATCGACATCATCATGATTATCGCCTTGATTACGTATAGTATACATGCTGTTATTATCCTTACTGTTATTACTATCGGTAGTAGTAGTTGTAATAGTTGTAGTAGTAGTAGTAGTAGTAGTAGTAGTAGTAGTGGTAGTACTCGTGAGATTTGTGATAGTAGCAGGAGTGGTGTTAGTAGTAAGAGTAGTAGTAGTAGTATTTGTATTTGTTATTGCTATAGTACTATAATTAAAATAGTAGTTTGCAAATTTGTCCTAATTTTATTCCCCTAAATGTTGCCCTTGCGCTGCCGCCGCCGCCGCTGCTGCCGCTTTCTGCGCTTGCGCCTGTTTCTCTTGTTCGTTTAACTCTTTGATGGCTTGTATCTCTTTTTTCAATTTCATTCGTCGATTTTGGAACCATATTTTTATCTGTCTCTCCGTCAGGCAGAGGGCATGAGCCATTTCGATTCTTCGCCGGCGGGTTAAATAATGATTGGTGTGGAATTCTTTCTCCAATTCAAGCGTCTGATAGCGGGTATATGTTTGGCGACCACGTCTTCGTAAACCATTGGTTCCTGTAAAAAGAAAACAAAAAAAAAAAAATAAATAAATAAAATAGTAAATCTTTCACTTTAAGTCAATGCATAGCAATTACAAACTAAGTTTGTCTTTGACTGCAGATGTCGTGTCTCAGTTGACGGAGTCAAGCGATTTATTCTTACTAAATTTCAAATCGGTAAACGCCAAGTATTATGCAAATTATAGTTTAGTTGAAGGCAAACTCAGAATTATTTTGTCAACCAACCGCACCATAGTTTTGCATTAAAATTTTACACAGTGTTTTTCTGTAACTACGTATATCAAGCTTGAGAAGAAATCGGTTGTCATGAGGTCGGAGCTACGCTGTTTCACGCGAGGAAGAGACAGTCAGAAAGAAGTCAGGAAAGACATAGAAATAGGGCGATGGTGACTCAATCGCTGGCGAAATGTGCCCAATCGTAAAAGGTTTTGCCTTCACCGAGCATTCACTACAGTTGCGAACAAAGTAAACTCTACCGCACTGGGGGGGACTTGAACTCGCGAACACAGGCTTTGTAGTAGCGATTCTTACCTATTCGGCTACTCATGCGGATTGGTTGGGTCTTTTTGAAAGTAAAAGTTTTTTTTTTCTTCCTTTCTTTTTCTTTCAAATCCTTATAAATATATTTAATAATCTTTTGCCCAGTGTGGACGTGATATTGGACGGGTCATATGCATGTTTAGAAGGTGATGTCTGCCCATTACGTTAAAGTACGAACCAAATTTTCGCTCTGCCGTATCCCTAACTTGATGTAAAAGACGTACGACGAACGAAGACTTATACGGACAGGTAAGAGTGACTAATAACGTCAATCTAACGAAAACTCTATGCAGCCTTTCATACATACTTCACCCGGTTGGCCGATTTTTTGCAACAAGATGTAAAAATATTTAAACTTCTTTTCAAAATCTGCTGTGGCGTGTGCAGGCGAACATTTTATTTTCAAAAGCCCTCTGACTATTGGTTCACTAGTGCCTTTCGTCCGTAGTCCGAGCACAATTACCAACTTTATATTCCAACAGTTCATTACTTTCTTTGGAACGGCTGCACTGAATACCTGAACCAAGACAGTGGTAGTAGTCTTCGTAAAAGATTTACAGGAAATAATTTTAAATACATCATAAGCAAATTAATCACTTCGGGTAGTAAAGGGTTCATGCGCCTGTACGATCTAAGTGACCGCGTATAACAAGGATTCAAAGTAAACGAAACAAGTCATCGCATCACAGGGGTTTCTGTGGCACCTAAATAAGTTCTTTATGATATCGATCGAAGCATTTCTCTGAGTGTTATATAGGGAGCGACAAGGTTTAGATTACTTCCGGCGATCGATAAAGAATGCAAAAATTATTTATTAAATATGCGTGCACTCAATAAATTCCTTACCTAGAGATCTGATAGTGAAGTGATTTACGACAATCATTATACATTTATTTTGCAATTATTCGGTTTGTTTTTTTTTTTTTTTTTTTGTATACTTTGTTCGTTTTTTTGTTTTTATATTCTTAATTAATCATAAATTATTTGGCATTTCGAAGTTTGTGTACAAAAGAGAAAGAGTTTGGAAGAGAGTAAAAACAATGCCAACAACTATGCGTTTAATAAAGAGCTGAGTTATACCGAATAAATTTTTATACATGCATTTGCATAGATATTTGTATATATATATACATATATATAGATTTGTATATATGGATATGTATGTATGTATCTGTATATGTGTATGGCCATAAGTTTACATTCATACATTAGTTGTAAATATATGTGTTTTCAACTTTACGCATGTCAACATAAATTTTTGGATAAATACCTTTAGGCTAAAAATTTAAAACGTAATAAATGCCCATAATATTTAACTGAACACATATATTTAAACAAAAGCAAAAACGAAATACTAAATATAATCATATCGTCGTACGTAATGCAATCCAATGCAATGCAATGCAATGCAATGCAATGCAATGCAATGCAAAATTCGCCTGAGCATATCGTATATGCATAAATGCATATACATATGCATACACATACACATACACATACACACATACATACACATAGATACATCTGCTCTTATATTTATGCAAAAATCCTGGTTTATAAAGCTCATAAACTTTAACATTTAAATGAATTTGCAATACATTCATACACACAAACACTCGTTCATGCATATATAATATATATATATATATAGCTCACATGTGCATATGAATGTGAGTAGATGAATAGCGTAGAGAGTAAGAGATAAGTTTTTGCATCAAAGAGATTGAGTGAGTTGTGGGAGAATTCTATGCTTTTTGCTTGCAACTGGCAATCGATGATAGTATCACACTTTGTGCAGCCTATATAAATAAATACATATATATATGCTGTAGTATATGGACATATTTTGCTTCATTCATATGCCTTATATACGTTTGTATATTTATTTGTGTAAACATATTTCTCTTTTTCTCTTTTCTCCGTAATTTATATAATGATAATATATTATATATATATATAGATATATATATATATATATATATAGACAAAAGAGATCGAGGACAGTGAAAAAAAAATTATGATATGGAACGTGAAGGTAATTTGGAAATATTAAAGTCACATACCGTTATACAAATATACCTGAAATATGAATATAGATGAGAAAGCATTAGATTGGTTCGAAAAATCAATTGTTCAGTAAAGACATGTATAGGGCGTATCGATGCGTTACGCACTTAGTGGACTACGGCCAATCCTTATCTCGTTTCCTCATTCCTTTGTGACCGTGATGGACTTTCACAAATAGGAAACATATCCTTAGTGGTTGGCCGCATTAAAAATCCGAAAAAAAAGAAAAATTTCCTCTTTACCTTATCCGAAGTAGATTGAAACTTTTTTCTACGCGCAGATAGACTTCTTGAAAGTGTTGGGCTAAGCAAGTTATTGCATAGCTTTTGAGATCGGTAAAGCATGATCAGTGGCAGAGAGGAATCGATAAGTTCATGCATCATATACTAAATCCAAACTTGGATGGATGGGTTAAAGCTTTACTCGATTTCTTTTTGCCTTGAATTTTAATTAGCTTTCGATGCCTCAAACCTATTTACATCTCTTTATTACTAATTTTTTTTACAAGACTTGCGAGTAAACTTGACTTAAGAAACATAGAACTTTACACATAGTTCAAATAAAAGTTTAAAAAAAAAAAAATTATTTTAATCAAAAAAAATTTACTTTTTTTTTCTCATTTCAGATTCATCCTTTCACTAGGGACTAAAAACATCGTTGCAAACACTAACGCTACTTAGTTACAAGTAATGGAAAAGAAATGAAAGAACGGTGGGTTTCTATGTTCCAAACTTTATAACTGAACTACCGAAAGGAAGACTTAGAGTTAGGAAGACTGAGAGCTTCTTTCATTTCTCATCATAGACTTGCTCGGTTTTGAAAGCCTAGCGCGCGCGAAATTCGATTTTAACGTAAGCAAGTAAGAGACCTATATTTAGTTGTTGGCGAGCCGTCCGTACTCATCGCCTTTGTCTTAAAGAAAAAAATTTGAAAAGCAAGAAAAATGCAATTTCGACACTTTGTAGGCGTACTAAGTAGGCGTGACTGATTTTTTTTGATATTCTCTACTTTTGTACAGATGCTGCAGAAACATCCTTAGAATAGATACGAGCCAATCTTGAACGTTGCATCTATTCTTGTTCGCGTAATGAGAAAGAAACTTTTTGCGTTTGAGGGCATACGTGTTCTCGAATTTTGCCGTACCTTGATCATGCCCTTTGACCGATTTGACGTCATTGGCAATACCAGCGCGCGTGCAAAAAGTCTCCAAGTATTTGCCAAATTTGGAAACGATTACCTGATTTTTGTGGCAAGGAGAATACCTACCACACACTGACGGACCGACGGGACTTACATACTTAAATCGCTTCAGAATTGGGTCAAGATCAGGACCAAGAATGTTTACGTACAATCTATAGATATTTTAGCTACCAGCTCTCTTCTGGATGCTGGAAAATTTTTTGACAAAACGAATGTTGGCCGCCCATTCTAGGTGATTCTAGGGTGTGAAAAGGAACGTTAAAGGTATACGAACAATATTAAATTAATTGACGTAAGTGCTAACATAGAATGACTTTTAAGGACAAAAGCGGGCTTTGACTTTGTGCAAAAGTGTGTGCAAAAGTTATTCGTAAAAAATTTGCCTCACTCTAATGTACGCAATTATATTATATGAGTTTATATGGATGCATGTGCGTGTGTTTATGTGTGTATTTACGAAATTGAGTTATTGCACTTGAGGCAAATTAAACTTCATAAATATGTTAAATCAGAGATTAACTGCCAAAGTATTCACAAAAGATTTTATGAGCCATTAAAGTGTGAGATGCCATATAAATTATGAAATCAATGTAAATTATGTTGATGCACAGAGGTGAGCTGCATCTGCAAGTGTGTAATCGTAAGCATAAGCACATCATATTGATAAACTTATTCAAAGGTAATTTTTACTTTAACTTATATAAATGAAAACACATGCACACATGCATGTATGCGTACCTGTGCATAAAAATTCATATATATATATATATATATATGTAAATGTAAGTACGTTTGTTGGAACATCAATTAAAAGTGAATTTAATGTCTTATTAAATGTGTGAACTGTTAACTGATAACTGACATTTAACTACCGGCATTGACGCACACACAAAAGTGCAGCGCTCTTGTTACCTGAGCTGAAGCACGTACGACCATCGTTATTCTCGATCTAATCGGTAAGTTAAGCAAACTTATATATGAACATATATATGTATGTATGTATATACTAACGTATTAACTGAAAATAGCAATCTCGTGGCCATGTTCATGTAAGACCATTATGGTGTTTATTTCTTCTTCTTCTTCTTTTTCTTTTTCTCTTTCTATTTATTTTTTGTTTTTTTTTTTTTTTGCAACTCTTTCTTTGGTTGCAAATACTCGATCATGTTTGAAGTCAGTACAGTCGTCATCAACTTTGTTTGACTCTCATAGCTATAAAAATGAAATGTTTTTCATGTTTGTTGTGTTGTTCCGTTGATATTATTGTTGTTGCCATTGTTGTTGTATATGCATTTTCCTGTTGTTGCTATTGTTATATTTCTTTACATTATTGTTGCTATTGTTGTTACTGATTGTTTGGCTTTTTTTAACTGATTTGGTGGTGGCTGTGATTTTTCTGCTGGGTGTAAGTATTTACCCGTGCAATTGCAGTACAACAACAATATTGCAAACTGTATTATGTTCCATTGAAGCATCACCATCCCCAATAACAACAACAACAGCGATGAAATCTCTCTAGCTACATGAGTACATTGATATGCTTGTATGTGTCATGTGTGCAGCAACATCGGGCGCATGTTTTGGATTTTAAGTGCAACCTACATGCACGCCCGTTTACTTGACTTGTACCATGTCGTTTGGGTTCAAGTTTTTTGTTGTTGTTATGTTACGCTGATGATCATTTCGAGAAAAAGGCTTATTTATGACATTGCTGCGTTTTTGCAGACATATACAAAAGCGATGGTGCAACAAGGCTACACAGAAAGAAGCATTCAGAACAGTTTAAACAACCGAAACGATCATCATCATCGTCAGCCTCCAGAGTTTAGTTGCCGGCCTCGCTTGCACATGTAGGCTGCCTTTCAATGCTTAAAATGCTGCATCGTTTACGTTTCTTTACTTTGTTTCTTTTTTTTTTTTTGTTTTTTTTTTGCTTTGCTTTCTTGTGTTCATGTAAAAACACAAACTTTACAAACATTTTCGTTTAAGGAAATATTTTCAATTTAATTTCATTGTTAACTGTAGTTGCGGTTTTGGTATCTATTCAATAGAATAAGCGACCGCATCTTTCCAACTTTTTTTCTCCTTTTATTTTATTTGTTCACAATCATATAAATTATAAGTTAAAATTCCTTTTCACGATCCTCCCAATGAATTTTTCAAATTGCAAGCGCTTCGTCATCATTGCAGCGTGGAAGGTTTCCATAATTGCTGAGTATTACGGAACGAATAGTGAAAGCTTAATCTTAGGAAAGTAAACGATTTTCTTTTTTTTTCTTGGACTTTTTCGTCTATCATTAGACGGATCTGTACTTGAGAATGAAGGGAGCACTTGAAATATGTAGGAATAAGGAGCAGAGATTGAATTAATTTACTCGCATCTGCTTATATGTCCGTCCGATTGCTAAAATTACAATTCTAAACTTGTCTAGAAAACCAATCCAAGTCTTCTTCTTTCTCTATGTTCGGGTTGGCCTTGAAAACCCGCTAATTAAGTCCGCGAGTCCGCATTAAAAAACGAAGCGAAATCCAAAACGAGGATCAAAGCATTAAAGATCAAGATCTTGTTCGAGGCGCGTGTTTTTTGCTGAGAGGTCTCCTCACCTCCTTACTTCCTTATCGCCTTAGGCACCTTACAGTCCTTAACACCGACTCGACACAGTAAGTTGCTTATTAAGAGTTGCCGTTCCGAGAATGCTCGTTGAAAAACACTTTCTTCACTTTGCCCATTAAAGGTCGTTAGTCGAAGATAAAGAGGATTTTTTGCTATTTATTGAAAAGTATTCTAATTTCATCACAGTCTCGTATCGGATAAAATTAATAATATTTCTATCTTAACAGAGTTTGAATCCTTTAGGATTCAAGCTATTGACTGAAATTAGTCTCCATGTGTTCCCGCTTGCAAATATGCCCAACTCCATGTAGAGAATTTAAAATTCGATTTTAGCTGAACACGTTGGTATAACGCATTATTATTTAAAAGCATTAACATTAAATAATAATAAGATAATACATTGACACAGCAATAGCATAAGTGAATAAAACTTAAAACGAACGACTGACTGTAAAAGCATATACACAGCGATAACGCAGCATTGATGTTACACAGACGTTTCCTATATATACATACATACTTGCATATATCTAAATATTTATATAGAGTCGACGGAAACAAGTGGCACCCAATTAAGCTAAATTTATGCAACAAGACATTCTTCAAGTTAATTGGCAAAAAACGCCATTTTTGCACAAATTTTTCAAATAAAATAAAACAAATGACATGACATGGCATCGCATGGCATGGTAGCAGTGTAGTAAGCTCGTGAAATCGAATGACACATAAACGCAAAAAAAAAAAATAACAACAACAACAATAATAATAATAATAATGATAACAAAAAAAACCAAGTTAACGACAAACACAACAAACAACGAGTCAACCAACCAAACAACCAACCAACCAAACAGCCAACCAGATGCAAGCAACCAGCGAGTGAGTGAGCAGTTAGTTAAACAGCTAATATGTTATAATAAGTTTTGGTTTTATTGAAAAAAAAAAACACAACTTTTTCACTGGTTTGTTTGTTTTCTTACTTTTGCTTTTGATTTCGATAAGGGTTCAGGCGAATACAGCAACGACAATAATGCTGCTGCAAAGGAAATTTTACAGGTTGACAGCTGCAAAGCGTTTTACAAATTACATAATTCAGTTTTTCGGTTAAGGATGAACTTTAATTTATTCATTTACTCAATTTATTCATGTATTTCGTTTTTCTCTCGACTCCTTCTTATTTATATCCCCTTCATTCACAATCGCCTCAAATTCGAATTCGAGGCACAAGGCGGCACATCATTCAAGTTATAACAAGCGTTGCAAGTTATCCGTCGATATATAAACCAAATAAAAAAAGCGAATCTTTAGCATTCATCATTAGAATATGAAATTGTTAATTATGAACGGGTTAGTCAGACGAATTATCGATCGGAGTTTATTACTTTGCTTTAGATAGCTATGCCGAAGCTTTGCAACGAAATAGGGATCGTTTGGTTGTCAGTTACGATATCATAACAATTTACTGGGATTTGCTGAAATTGTCAGTTATTAGTTGCTATACGTGACGTGCATGTGTATGCAAAAAAAGAACGAGTATAAGTGCTAAGCCTTAGTTCCACATCTTAATATTTGACACTCAAAGCGCTTCAGTAGCTGAAAGACGGACGGATAGACAAGAAGGCATAGCGACCAAAGGCTTGTCTATTCGCAAATCTCAAGTTTATGAAAAATATCTATCTGTGTCCGCTAACGCGCACTGCAGTGAGTTGTACACACTGTGTACCTCTATGTTTCGGACGGTGGGTACGATATAATAAATGCCGAAATTCGAGATCATGTCGTTATATGAAAGTGATTTTGCTTCTTCTTTTTTTTTTTAGTTTATGGAGACGAGTAAGAAGAAGAGCTTGACTTTTCTCTTTATTCCTCTTTCTCACTTCACCCAATAGAAACGGATGGCAATATCGCCATAACAACTGCAGTTTAGTCTGTAATACGTCATGATGTAGTTAGTAGTAGTACACCTTTTTGTTATTGGGTGGAAAGTGTAAAAACTTCATTTATTTTCCCTTAAATTATATTTGCACGCAATCGTTATAATCATGCAAACCTATATTTTCTTCCATAATCATAGAAATGAATGCCTGGCCTGTCTTGGTTTGTTTGTTTGTTTGTTTGTTAACTTGTTAAGTGCTTTATATGGCTTCGCTGTTCTTAAGAAAGTTTTATGTGGTAAAAATATGCAAAAAATGTAAATGAATGTAAAAATTGTGCAAATGCCTCAGAATATTTATAATAATAAAGAATTCATTTTTTCAAGAAGTGAAAAAAACAAAAAATAAATAAGAAAGAAAAAGAAAGGAAAAAAGGGTGAAAAAATTAATAAAATTATTATTTAACATACACAACTTGGAACGTAAAACAAATAAATTCACAATAAAATATGAACGAAATGTTTATGGTTTGCACAAAGCTTTGAACTGCAAGGAAAGCAAGTAAGGAAAGTACGAATGGCTTGGCGTAGCTTCTAAATGTTAGATAATGTTAGTGAATCATTTGGTGCTCGTTTAGTGCAATTATTTTGATCGTATTTTCGTATACAGCTCAATGACGTTTGCTACAAGTCTACTAACACACCTGTTGTTACCTTCGCAATCTCTTCATTATCACGAGCGAATTTGTATGTGGAGCGTTGATCGGTTTATTTTAATGTTGATGGACAAGCAATTAACGGTTCATGCTGGGCAGAGATACATTAATCCGAATCATGTCATGTTTTTTTTAAGGAATTATACCACGACGTGACTCTCACCCACTTACAAGACTCATATGAATAAGTCGTTGTTGCTTTTGTTTATAACCTATTATTATACTATTATTATGAATTGCTTAGACTAACGACATAAATCCTTCGATTGAAGACAAGAAAAGATTGAGCACTAGTAACGTAGGCTGAAAATAAAGTGTTGAGCCTAACAGTTGATATTACGTTCTATAGCTGATTTCGTCGACGTCCATAGGATTAGGATTAGCATTAGAATGCGATTGTTTTCAAAAAGGGGGAAAAAAGGAAAAGTTTACAGAAACACAAAGAAAGTGCTTTGCTGTAAAAATTTGTCCGTAACTGCACCTCTTCTTTAGGATCAGTTAGTGTGTTGCAAATGTATGAAGTAACAGACATGGACGTTCAATAGAGTTTGTCATTTGCCAATAAATATGACTAGGTACCCGTACGTACGGTGACGGTGTTCTTTAACTTGTCATTTATGCTTACTCTCGAGGTTAACAACCTGTAACGCAGACAGACTCTTAAAGATTATTAGCTTTGTTTATAGTTTAAATTATTTTCTATATCCAACACATATATATATATATATAAATATATATAAACAAAAAAAAAAT